GCATGCTGACTTCTAATAAGCCACATGCATTCTTTTCTCACTTATCTTAAACCTAGACCTTTCTCATTAATTCAATCAAAACTGAGCCCATGATTCCACAAGATGGTAAACACAGTTTTGGAGAATTGATCTCCAGGTCAGAAATAACATACTCGGGTGACACAAAGTGCTCAACTACTACCAGTTCACTAGGCAGAACTATATTTGTTCAAAAAAATGTAAGCAGGCCATTTTTGTTTTGCCAGCAAAGGCATAAGCTATTTTCCTGCAGCCAGCATAAAACTAGCAACCTTTTTTTTTCCCCTTTTTTTCCCCTTTTTTTTCTCCTGATTAATTACAAAAAATTGTGACCATTTAGTCATGCTCAATCTGGATAAAATATACTGGTAGGTGATCTACAGCCCTGGAGGAAACAACCATTTCAGCCCTCATTTCTCTTACTTCTCACATCTCCTTGCAAGCTGGTGTGATATAACCTCTGAGAGGGCCATTATAACAACAGTTTCTCCAGATCCTACCTTATCAGAAGTCATCAAAAATAATGAAAAAATTACCAAAACAAAAAACAAATGGAAGAAGACTATGAAGACACTTCACCTTTCCTCCCCACTTTCTAAATTTAAGAGTTACTGATCTTGTAAAAAGTAATAGTGCAGTCTAGGTTCCCAATTTCTATCAAACAGTTTTCTGATATTCTGAAGTATTTGGCTGAAATCTTTCTTGTGTAATTACTTGAAAGCCAGATCTAGTCTAACCCAGTCACCAAGAGTGTCTCAGTAGGGAGAAACAAGCACCTCCAGAGAGCAATCCATTCTTAGACCCTTCTTTTAGGATGGGACAAATCACCCTCTGGTGGTGCCTCTTTCTCATTACTCCCATTAGAGGGGATGAATGCAATTTGCTTGAGTGGATGTCTCACTTCTGGATGCCTGAAGTTTGATAACATGAATACCAGTCTTTGTACCTAAAGGCTATGAAGATTAGTGGTGGTAAAGCAGAAAACAGTGCATAGACTGTATTGTGTTTCAAATATCTAGAAGGCCTAGAATGCCTATTTTTTTTCCCCAGCATGAATAGGATAACTGCTGGGCCCTAATAAATGAAAACGTTATGGCAAAGCCATCCCACTCACCTCTTTCCTCCCCTCCACACCCTTCACAAGAACCTCATACAGATTTAAGTAATGCTCTGCTTAAGAAAGCAAATGCTGAAAGATGCTGAATACCTGCAACTTTGGTACGACTCATCAGGTTAAGCTCTGAGATCCCTATACTGTTTATTCATGCAAATTCTAGTGTGCCAAATGCTGAGGAGTGCTGAATGGCCGCTCAGTGGGAGTTGTGGTTGCTCAGCACCTCCAAAGAATTGGCACGTAAACTCCAGCCTGGACTTTGCTTATTGAAAAAACCAAATCCAACCATCAGTCATGCAGGGTGTGCTTCCCTCACTGCTTCATGAGCTGGCCTGGTGAAAATTCCTGGTGCTTATTGAAAGCATCATCTGATGTCACTCGACACCCCAGGAGAAAATATAAATCAAAGTGTTAAGTATTCAGCACTCTCTCAGCATTGGCCTAATGTGATTAATGTAATCTGAGGTAAACACTTTAGTTATTCCTGATTACTGTTAGGGACCCAAACCAAGGGTTGGGACTTGTTATTCTAGGTAATGTGAAAAACAAGCCCTACCCATCAGATCTCCAAGACTAAGATAAAGCTCGGGTAGAAGCTTGACAACAGTTACCTAATAGCCATGGACAGACACAATGAAGTGTTGAACCTGAACCGTCTGAAAGGCATGTGGCAAGGGCTGTGCCGTGCTCAGCAGAAAGCTTTTCTCTGGCAGCGGAGTAGGGCTGCGGTAACAGGGAGAGCGAGGTGATGCAGGATGAGATTGCAAGGACCTACAGAACGGCCGGATGCCCAAGTCCCGTTGACACTGAGGGGACCTACTTGTGCTTTCTACCTTTCAGAATCACCTCCTCATTCAAAAAAGTTGTTTTCTGTAAAAGTCTACAACTGAAACCTTTGTGTGGACTGCCATTGGAAGGGGGAGATGGACTTCAAAACGTGCACAGAGTTGCCCCTGGCACCTTTTGATGGTCTCTGGCCTCACATGAGGATAGCATATCTCAGTCACTGTATAACTCAAAGCACAAATACTAAAGTGTCACAGGTGTAAAAACACAAGCCTAAAAGCTGAGGAATGGCCCTATTGTCAGTTTTGTGCTTGCTTCACTTCTGGCTGGGTGTGATGGCAAATGATTGCTCTTGGAAAGGCACATCGAGGTATTGCAGACTGGCAGCCTGCTGAGTCCAACGAGGCGCAGGGAGTAAATGCTTCATCCAGCCAAACCCAGTGGGAATATGTTGGAGCTCTGACACTGTTTTGCTGACACAGGAAGATGTCATCACAGCAGAATATGAAGGAGTTAACACATTACGAAATACAGTTTTGGCAGTGATGCAGACAAAGCTTGTTTTGTTTGAAATGCAGTACCAGCAGTGTTGGTTAACATGGTAATGCAGTCACCTTGCCAGTCATTACATTGTGGGGGTTTTTTCTAGCATGTAACGTCCAAATCCTATGAAACAAGCTGCTTAACTATAAGCCCATAGATAGTTCTTTGCTTCAAAGTTAACAGTTTCATGCGTATTTCTGGATAGTGGCTGGTTAGAATAGTAAGTGGAAGTGCTAAAGGAAGCCCATCTTGCACAGGAAGAGAAAAGACAATGTACCAGTGTGGTTTTAAGTAAAAAAGAATAAAAATGGCAGAAATATTTTTTTAAACCTCTTGCCAGTTCTATTACTTTGCAGGGTGAGAAGTGAGGAGGGCTGCCACATACTTGCTTACACACACTACTGAGGGCTTGGTACACGAAATTGCCCAACCAATTTCAAAATGACTCTTGGCTAGTCCAGGCATTCCGGCTATCCTTCCAAAAATAAAAGGCAAAATTTTCAACATCGCAGAGGACTAATAAACCACCTACGCTCCTGCACCTACGGAGCTCAAGAGAGCACAGAATCCCTTACGACTCAGAAAGTCTAGCCATATATTTACTGCTGATACCTGACTTTTGTAATCGGGTCGAAAGGTTTGCATTCAGCACTTTCCAGGGCTGAGAGGCAGTTCTTCTGTAATCAGGACTCAATTAGCTACCTGCCTTTTCAGCTGAAGATCTGGGCCCATGGGCCCAATTCTTTACAATACTTTTGCATAAGCCTGGGAGATGACTCTTCTCACCAGCATTGCTGAAAATGGACTTCTGTATTCATGCAGCTGCTTCTCCCAGATTTTTCACCGTGTTTGTGCTCTCATTACAGCACATGATAAAGTTAGCAAGGAAAAGCTATATTTTTCTGCAAGATCCTTGTCCATAAAAACCCTTTCTGAGCCCTGTATTTTGCAGTGAGTAGCAGTGAGTGCCTTGCTTTGAAAATATGAATCTAAGTCACAGATTAGTCCACATTTCAAATATTAAAGCAGATTCTCAGATAGTATTTCATTGGAAAAAGTAGGGCTATGCCAGTCTAGAGCAACTGGGCCTAAAAAAAGGAGCTATGAACTCTTCATTAGATATATTAGATATATAAATAAAGAAATAAGGAGCTACTTTTTTCATACCTCCATGCTGTCTTGTCTGTTGGTGTCACAGCACTCAAATAGGTAGTAACTGGAATGAAGCCCAGTAGCCAATTTATACTTAACATACCATTAGTTTTTACTAATTTCTGTGGTACACTTTAAGTACTTACAAAAATGCTTAGGAAAATCATCCATCCCTTGCTTCAGTTCCTCACAAGCATCCCTGCTTCTTTGTTTGTTCCTGGATATGTTAGCATCACTGCTTTGGTCACTTTCCGGTTTAGGATAGTATTATAAATGGTTGAGATGTGTTAAAATTCAGAGGACACTGCTCTCTCATTTTCCCTCTATCAAGTAGTATCTTGACATCAAATAGTTCTCCTGAGGTCATGCTAAAGTTCCCAAAGTTAGGTGAAACCTTGCATAGGGAAAGCTGGCAGTATTGGCTATTTTAATTTTAAGAATGTAAAATAATGTATGTGCATATCTAGGAATATAAAGTGGGGAAAAATCCTGTATATTGCACTTTAAATTGTGATTTTAATGATGAAGACACAAGGCATCCCTTAGCTACCACATCACCCATTTTTGTATATTTTATCTTTAATAGGATTTCTGATACTACCACAAAATCGGTCTTCATTCTCTGCCAAAGGGATCTGAAAACACTGGAACTAGTAAAAATATTTCTGTGTATCATACTGGCCTGTTAAATATTCAGCTAATTAAAAAATAATAATAATTCCTGTGATTAGCAGCTACAGCATATCATGTCCAGACTCCTTTTTTTACCATAAGCGTAGGATACTTGTGCAAACAAAAGCAGAATTTGGTCTGGGATATAAGCAGAAGCTTATATCTCTGTATTATTTATTTCCTGCTCTTGGGCTGAGTGAAATTGAAATGAAATAGATATTAAAAGACTTTAAAGAAGAAAAAAAAAACCACAAAAAAACCCCAACAAAAACCAAACAACACATCCAAGGCAGATTTCGTGACAGCAGAACAAGTATCATTTTGAGTGGCAATGCACTGACAATAACTTTTGGCTTTGGTCCACATCAATCTGGAGGCCCAGCTACACAAGCCAAGCTGGCTCGGGATCACTTCTAAACAGGCAGTTATCACCTTCAATGCAATAATATTCCAGAGGCCCAAATCAGGACTAAGCCCTTTGCACAGGTGCAACACGCTCACCCAGCGTAATCCTTCCTCTGCCGTTGTCCGTGGCAAAAGTCCCTCCAACTTCTCTGGCGTTAGAAGTCTGGCTGGCCTCCCCAACTGTTCATGCTCCCTGCCTTTTCCCCTCTTTGCCGCTTCATTCTGGTTTTCTGCCTGTTGTGAAATCTTAAGGATTTTAATGCAATTCATCTTTTCCTCTTCCATTTGTCAACCTTTCTTTCCTTTACAGACTGGTTCTGAACCATCCCCTCAAGGACGAGTGGAGGAAACTCCTGTGAGCAATGAGAGAGGTGACGAGCCGGCTCGTCATGTCTTCTCCTTCTCGTGGTTGAACTCACTGAATGAATGATGACTCACTCCGGCTGGCTTCTGGTGTGCTTCTCCTCTGAGGGACCGTGAGGGCAGGCAGCCTGGCTGCAGTCAACAAAGAAACTGGCCTGGAAAGGGACATCCGAGCAAGTTTTGTTCCCAGAAACTCAGTTGACCTCCACATAGGACCCAGCCCTTGACATGACAGAGTCCTAAGAGGGATGGGACATGGGGAAAAATTGCTATACTGTATTGTAGTTAGAGTGTTTTCCAACAATTTCTTGTTTCAAAGGGGAAAATAGCATCACTACAGCTGTAGGCTGAGCACCGCTAATGTTTTGTTATTTACTTTTTGGTATGTCCCCATGTAGGTGTAAATGCTTCACCAATGTTGTTAGCCAAATGCTGGTAAGATATTCACTAGTAGCATCCTTTGCCAACACAGTGTTTCTCCTCAGTACCCTCCTGCTCATTGGTGCTGGTGACTTCAGTAACACTATTGTGTCCTCGGCACCGCCAAGTCAGGGTTGTATCTAAGCACCTCCCTGCAGTCACTCATGGTCCCCAGGGTGCGTCCTCAGCTGCAGAGGCCGAACACAGGAGGGGAGAGGGAAGCTACCGTTTCTTCTTTTGTACTTGCTCTTCCTGCTAAGCCACAACAGAAGATGCTCACATAAACAGGTTATTTGTAGGGAAGGTGCCCAGGAAGATGCACACACGAAAAGCACTGTATGAGCCCCCATGAATGGATGTGGAACACAGCTCTGACCATGTGGGGCAGACGCTAGAGTGCTGCCCATGTCTGTCCAGCCATAATCCGTGTCTACGTCTTCTCAGTCATTCGTGTGTGCAGGAAAAGGGACATGTTCTTGCACGAAACCAGAACGGGGTGAGGTGGTCACAGGTATTCATTCAAAGGTTTAATTTGGAGGCCCCAAGGTGCACTGTAGAAAAGGCGAATGTCAAATGTCCTGTTCCGTGTGCATGGAAGATGTTGAGCCATCTAATGAAAACAAATTTGTGTCTTAAAAGAAGCTCTACAAGTTGTACTGAAGGTGACACTCTGCAAGTTTTGTCACTGGGGACAGGGTGCCAGCACTCAGTAGTGTTTAAGAGAGGCTATCAGGTTGCAGGGAGTGCTTGGTGCCATAGGGGACCAGGTGTGCTAGGCTTAAGTGTGGATCTCTCCAGAGGCCCGAGCCAGGCCCTCAACACCCCGCTTTGGCAGGGGACGGTGTCGGGCCGTAGGGCTGCGCTGCACCCCAGCAGGACTGGCGAGCTGGCAGTGCAGGAAGGCAGCGCCTGGTTAGCAGGCTGTGAGGGGTCAGCCCCAGTCCCGGCCATCCCTTGCTCCAGGGCTGAGTCACGTTAACCCTCATTTGTGTTTGTTAATCTGGAAAATGCTACTGCGAGAGAAGTTTTGCGGGGCCGCATAGGCGAGCTCCGTGCCAAGCTTTGAGATTCGCACAGCCAAAATCCGCACCCCCCCCGCTCCACACCACCACCGCCACCGCATTGCTCTGCGGCTGCTGGAGCAGCTTTTCCCTGGGATGTGGTTCGGGGTGAGGGATTTCCTATTTTCTCCCCGTCGTCCTATAGGATTTCCTCCAGTTCCTCCCAGGAAGTTCCTCCACACGCACCGCCACCTCCCCAGCGCCCCTGGAAGGGACTCGGCTTGGGCACCGTCGCCGGGACAGAGGGAGCCGAAGCGGGGAGGAACTTGCATTTTTGGGGTGCGGGGAGGATAAGCAGAGCTAGAAAGAAAACACAAAAGAGATGCGGGAGCGCCTCACCAGTTTCCCATCGCTGCGCTCTGGCAGGAGGA